ATTTTGATGCTGCTTGTTACAAATCACATACTTCAGTACAGGGAAGAAATAATGGGAAAGAATTTCTGTGAAGCTTCGTCATTTCAGCATCTCTGATAAGAAGAATAAAGTAAGTCTGAGTTGCCTTCTGCTTGTCTTCTGCTTGTGTTACAAGAAGTCTTTCGTGCGAAACTTCAGTTCATTTCACTTGAAGAATTGTTTTAGCTGTACGTTCATTTTCATTCAAATCAAACTCATTTTCATGCTAAACAGTTTGCACGTGGACTCGTTTTGAAACAGAGGCACAAGACAACTCGGCTTGTTTACTTTTTCTTTTCTACACCTACTAAGAACCTTTAACTCGCTCTTGGATTTCCAGGTTGAACTTCCTGGTGAAGTCATAGATGTTAGCTGTGGCGTGGATCACATGGCAGCCGTCCTAAAGTGCAGTTAACATTTCAGTAGCATGTGACACGAAATGCCACGCTACATAAAATGTCGCGCAACGTGAAGGTGAAGGAAACCGGGCGCGTGAGTGACAACGCTCTGTTCAAACAGAGGGGACAGATGCTAGGCTCAAAACATGAATTCTCTTTAATTGAGGCTGTACTGTTCCTTTCATGTTAGTTCCGAGAATATGGTTGTACATTAAAAAATTGTCCAATTCTTGTCTACTTGACAAGGAAGAGAGAGGTTTTTGGGGAATAAAGTGTTCCGCCAGTTTGATGCTTCGCCATTGGCCTACTAAAATAGTAGAGTCGCCTTTCACTGCGGTATTGTGAAGGGTTTAATTTATGGTGATAAAATTTTCAATGAATTTAAACAAATTTTCCCATCGGTGAAATCGGCCATTTTGAGAAAGGGCCGGATATGGCGCGAAAGGCAGTGTTTAGGAAAACAGAATTCGATGTCACATGATCTTGTGAAAATTGAGTTTTGGAATTCCTACTGCCAATAAATTTGTGTTTCTGTAAAATTCAGAATACAAGTGACACAAGTGGAAAGTCCTCCCCTCAATCGAGTAATACGGTAGCGGATTTCATCGGGAAAAAAAAGTAGGGAAAAGTAGTTAGTCCTTTCTAAAGTTTTCTCTATACTTGCTGTACTTCACTCTGATTGCTGTCTAAATTTTTACAAGCTACTTGATGGAAGAGTAAGCGGAGCGGACATTTTCAACGCAGTGAAATTGCCCAGCGTCTTTTTTCATTTTTGTTTTGTTTTGTTTTGTTTTGTTTTGTTTTTTTGTCTANTTTCCAGGTTGAACTTCCTGGTGAAGTCATAGATGTTAGCTGTGGCGTGGATCACATGGCAGCCATCCTAAAGTGCAGTTAACATTTCAGCAGCATGTGACACGAAATGCCATGCCACATAAAAATGTCACGCAACGCAAAGGTGAAGGAAATCAGGCGCGTGAGTGACAGCACAATGTTCAAGCAGAGAGGACAGATGCTGCCTATAAGTTTGTGTTTCTGTAAAATTCAGAATACAAGTGGCACAAGTGGAAAGTCCTCCCCTCAATCGAGTAATACGGTAGCGGATTTCATCGGAAAAAAAAGCAGTTAGTCCTTTCTAAAGTTTTCTCTATACTTGCTGCACTTCACTCTGGTTGCTGTCTAAACTTTTACAAGCTACTTGATGGAAGAGTAAGCGGAGCGGACATTTTCAACGCAGTGAAATTGCCCAGCGTCTTTTTTCATTTTTGTTTTGTTTTGTTTTGTTTTGTTTTGTTTTTTTGTCTAGCTTCCAGAAGAAGTTGATTCATGTGGAGTGGTACCAGCAGTAATGCTTCTTTGTGGAATAGAACTCGGTCCCGGTGGGAGAGAGCTGAAAAAAAACAAAACAAAACAAATAAAAACAAGTAATTTCTAATTAACTATTATCGGAGTTGAGGGGCGATTTCCATTCAACCTAAAATT